GAGACACCAAAAGCAGTAAGAGCAAAAAGGGAGAGGGGAGCAAGCTCTTTTCTTTCCTTATATTGTGGGCAAGCTACCTGCCCCACGTGGGTCTAGCATTCACAGCACCTCTGTACCCTCCTCTTGCATAGGCTGAGAATGTTTAAAAAGTAAGGACCTGGACCTCCTGTAGAGTCACTTAGTTAACCTTAGTCAGTCAAGTTGACACAATGACTCCATCATTACAACATCCTGGAACCTAGACAGCCACAGGGGCATATCTTCTATATCCCAGTATGTAGAACTGCTAAATTAATTAAGATTCTAAATTTTTCAAGTTGACACAATGTATCAACCATTACACAGATGAAGCAACTGAGGTGGCTGGACTATAGAATTCTCTCTTCTTGCAACAGTTGAGACTGCTCTCTGTCCCCAGCCTCTCAAATATATATCCTGTGGGCCTTTGAATGTCTAAGACGCGTGAGTCTAGTTGCACAATTTAGTAAATGATATATTATTTTCAAGATACCAGCACCAAGTACTCAACATGAGGGCAAGGAAATCATAGTTTATATTTTCTGTAGAACTGTAGATTTTCTAAAGTGGAAGGGACTACAGTCGTCTGCTAGTCTAGTCTCTGTGCCAGTGGTTCTCGAACTGGAGTGTGTATCTGAATCACTAGAAGGGCTTGTTAAAACATCGTTTGCCAGGCCAGCAGCGGTTTCTAATCTTGGACAAGAAGTTATATTCCTAATGAGTTGTGCAGCGCAATTGCTGTTATTCTTGCAAACTGTTTCATGTAATATTCCTTGCTGCTTCTGCTTGAATCTCTCTAGTGTTGTGTTGATCACTACCATTCAAGTTTGCTGAATACTTGAGTTATTTAAACATTTTTCCCCCTGAATTTGGATCTCCCTTTGGCTTCCCAACACTGCTACTCATTCTGCCAAGGCCTCTACACAGAGCCTCTCTATGGTCAGTGGTTCAGTCACTGGCACAGGAATCAGACCACCGATTTACATTCTGATTCCATCACTTACTGCGTGACCTAAGTCATTTCACTTTCCTATGTTTTCCTCATCTAGAGAATGGGGGTAATTTACATGATAGGACTGGTGTTTAGGTTAAATGAATAAAAATATGTAAAAGAATGAGCATAGGGCCAGCAGATATTTCTGAGCATAGGGCTCAGCATATTTCTCCCTTGGGCTAAATGTCTCCAGTTCCTTCAATTCTCCCTCATGCCATGGCTTTGGTGTTTTCTTTCTCATGACCGTCCTTTTGACAGAGTCCAGATCGCCAGGCTCCCTTGTCAAGTGTGGGGCAAAGACCTGCCCCCAGCCTCTGAGCCTCGTCTGTTCACAGTATCCAGAGATCATTTAGCTCTTGAGATTCACTTCTCCACTTTACTGGACCACCTCAGACTTCTGGAAAATAAAGATGCGGGAGGCTATGTCTGCATGTTGGGAGTAACTGTAGTTCTTCCCCTTGGAGTGGCCCTGGATGTGCCCACAGAGGCTCTTGGTGTGTGTGAGCTTGTGGGGTGCTGGCAGGGGAGAGCACTTCTGAGCCTCAGCCCCATCAAAATGCCCCATTAAAGCAGGACTCACACCTGCTTTGTGATTATTGCAATGGTGACTAAGGAAGCACATGGTGGAAGAGGGTGACAGAGAAGAAGGGGATGGAAGACCCTGCTGGTCCGAAGTCTGGTAGGAGACTCAGCTTCTCTCTCAAGAAGAGTAAACTGCCATCCTGGCATAGACAATATTTTGAAAATGAAGATTCAGGGCCAGAGGGCACTGACAGCAGAGCAGAGCTGTGTGGGCATTTTAGCCCCACCCCGTGCTGCTGCTGGCCTTTAGCCTAAAGTCTTTGGTAAGATAATATGATGAGGGAGTCAGGATTGTTTTGTTGCAGAGCCAGGGGCAGCAGGGTTTTGGTGTTAAGCATACAGAGCAGCCCTGTGAAGAATGTCTCAGTTACACTTCTAATTCCTAATCTGTAGTGAATGATTCTGGTTCATACTGTGGTGTCCTCAAGAGTTTATTTTTCCTCCTTGGGCATAGAAGATGCCAGATTCAGTTGCAGCCATGCCTCCATTGAAGGGAGACCAGGCTGTGGGGCTGCTGGCTCAGCAGCCTGAACGCAGCCACGTGCTCCTCAGTTGACTTTACTAGGTAACCTCGGTTTTTCAGCACACACCAGACTGGTGGCAGCACTTCCCATCCTATGGATTTCCAGCACCCCCACACTGTGTGAATAAATAGAACGTGCCTCCCCTTGCCTCAGGCCCACGGTGTCTCCTGGACAACACGTAATGACACGTAGCCCTGCACCTCCAGGTTGCCCACCTGCCTGTCCTCATCACCTCCTGGGTGCTACCCCTGAGCTGCCCCTATTGGTCCCAGTGTAGGATCTTTTCCCAAGCCCACACCAACCTCTGTCTTTGGTCAAATGAGTTGGGGAAACTAGCCTGTTCTCCTTTGTGCCATCCACATTTCCTCAGCCTCCAGGAATTCCAAGCCTTCTTGATGCTGAATTCTTTGAATCGAGAATTTAACACATTGCCCTCCATCACATTTTAGTCCAGGGGCAAAAACAAGGCAGTTTCCAGCAAGGATCCACTGCAGAGCACGGACTTGTAGCGCCTGCTGCTGGCTGGGCACACGGGCTGAACTCCACCCTGGGGAAAACCGGATGGGATCAGTCCCATCCTGAGACCTCTGAGAAGAAAATGTACTATCAGTGTTTTTTCCTGGCACTTTGGAATCTAAGCAGTGGGGAAAACAAGGCAGGTATTGGTTAGTTTGTTCTCCAAGCTAGAATGGCAAGGACACTATAAGCTCTGATGGAGGCCATACTTTGAGGCAGGGTGTCCTTTAAATCATGCCACAGACATGGGTCACTAGGCTATTCCTGGTTTGCCATGTCCAGTGCAACTCTCAAAGTTCCTGGGGAGAAGGATGGTGGGAAGATGGAGAAATAAAGACAAGAATCAAAACGTAGAAAGCTTAGGGAACCCTCTCTCCAGATGGGAGGAAAGGAACTGCTCAACTGCTGCAGCACACTTATTTATACATTTGGCAGGTTGATGTCTTGTGACACTCCTCTGCCTAGCAGCCTGCTTGCTTGGATTGCCTTCGGCCCTTGGTGTTCTTGGAGCAGCTCGTTCATGTGGCTCGCCTTGGTTGCTCTTTGTTCTTGGGATGGGCCTCACTCCAGCCCCATACATATGATCAATCTCCAGTTTCTTCTGCTCCCCACACTGGTTCCTGTCTTTTCTCACTGGCTCTTTGTGTCTGGATGGGTATGATGGCTGCAGTCTCTCTGTGAGGGCTGAGGTCAAGTTGAGGCTGGGGCCTTGAGATCCCTGGCGATTTCCTTGCTGTTCTGCCCCCGAGCCTGTTCCTGTCCTCTGGGGACCCTTGAGAAATTGGCTTTTAAGACAGAATCCAATTCTCCCAAGGGCCTGTGATTGTTTCTGGATCTCTCAGATGGGCAAGTGTAGACACTTTTAATCCATACTCTAAGAGTGCCTGGATGTTGGTATATACAAGCACCTGAAATGTGACATGTTATTGCTCTGTACCTCTGTTTTTCTTTCGGTAGAAGCAAATTATATATTCTGAACCCTCAGCTGGGGCTAGGCAGAGAAGGGGACTGACTATTCAAATGTCCTTTGTATCCAACTTATAAGTGTTAATAATTTACAGCTTTCCAGAAGTCTTCAGGCCTCCCCTGTCTTAACACTCAGTTGCTTTAAAAACCAAAAAGTTCTGATCAGCAGTCACACGGGCCTGGGTGTGTGCTGCTCCTCCCACCTAATTCCTTACACTCATAAAACATTTAACTTAGTCTCCCATCTGGACCCTGGCCTGAGAAATTCCTCCGCTGATCTGTAGACTGATTACACAGGCTGCTTCTTCAGTGGAGGATGAGACAAGAAAGGGCAGGAGAGACTGTCATAAAACTGACTCTGGACAGGGGCAGAAAACCACCAGAGCTTGAAGTGCCAGGCTTGGAGTAAGTTAAGGAGCTACTAAGAAGACAAGGTAATGGTGGCACAATCAAGTAGGAAACTGAAATAACATTTGCAGCTGTCAGGCACCTTCGGGGCTAAGGAGCCTGGGATGGTGGGAAAGAATTAGCCCAGAAGCCAAAGCACAGGGTTTAGCTGAGGCTCTGCCAAGAATCTTGTGCCCTTGGCTAACTCACTTTGTATCTAGTGGGTCTTTGTTTCATAGTGAAAAACTGAGGTGGTACAATTTTATTTTTTATTTTAAAGAGAAAAAAAGCATAGAAAAATAAAAAAGCAATCAAACAAACAAATAAAAACAACAACAAAAGCCAATCAATATCATAATCAATAACAACACCAAAAACAGGAATGATACAGAATTTCAAAACAAGATGATAGGAACTTGACAATGGGTGTGATATTATGTATTGTTATTCTCAAAATAGTTGCCCAGGTTGAGGAGGTACAATTTCAACAAAAACAAAAATAAACTGCTTTTTAAAAAATGGAGAGTGGACTTGCATAGACGTTTTCCTAAAGATATACGGTCAGTAACCACATGAAAAGATGTTCAACGTCTGTAATCACTAGGGAAAGGCAAATCAAAACCAAAATTAGATGTTACCTCCCACCCATTAGAATGGCCATTATCAAAGAATAAGTAATTATTTATTAAAAACAGGTTATTACCAGTATTACGTTCAAGAGGATGTGAAGTGGGAACCGTTGTGGATTGCTGGTGGCGAAGTAAATGACACGGGTGCTGTGGAAAATGGGATGTGGCTCCTTACAAAATTAAATGTGTGATCTGCAATTCTACTCTTGGCATATGCCCAGGAGAATTGAACGTAGGGGCTGAACAGACATTTATATCTCTATATTCATAGAAACATTAGTCATGGTAGACAGAAAGTGGAAGTGACTCATAATTCATGGACCAATAAGTAAAATATGGTATATATGTGGGATCAGATATTATTTAACTTTCAGATGGAAGGAAATTCTGACACATACTACAGTGTGGGTGAACCTTGAAGACATTTGCTAAAAGAAGCCAGGAACCAGAGGGTAAATACTGTATTATTTCACTAATATTCGGTTTCTAGAGTGGTCAGATTCAGAAAGAAAGAGAAACATAGAACTGTGCTTGTCAAGGGTCAGGGTGGGAGAGGGAGCAAGGCTGGGTAGATAGCACAGAGTTTCGGTTTGGGAGGACAGAAAAGTTCTGGAGATGGGCAGTGCTCGGCAATGTGAGAGGACTTAATGCCACTGAATGAATCATCCACTCAAAAATGGTAAAAATGTTAACTTTTGTGTTTTTATTTTCAGTCCTAGAAACTGAACCCAGAACCTCACGTCCACAAGGCCCTACCACTGAGCTACAGCTCTGTCCCTGTTATGTGTATATCTTCCTATAATTTCAGTGAATTCAGGTGGAGAGATCAAATGATTCTACCCAGAGTGCTCAAGAATGCCATTCGAAGGTTATTGGAAAGCCAAGATATTGATCTTTCCACTTTTAAATAGATCAGGCACGACCAAGTACACCTGAAACACTCAGGTAGGTCACCTCCTATTTCTTTTAATTCTTCTAGTATGCTCTGCCTGTGCGCACGTGCGCGCGCACACACACACATACACACACACACACACACACACACACGTATTGTTATTTTTTCAGTAATCAACCTACCGCTAAGCTACACCCCAGCCTCCCTTTTTACTTGTTGATTTTTTTTTTATTTATTGCTAAGCCTCATTGACTGGCCTTGAATTTGTGACCCTTCTGCCTCAGCCTTCCAAGTAGCTGGGATTATATGAATTCTTTTCTTTTCCTCTTTCTCTCTTTTCTTTCTCTCTCTCTCTCTCTCTCTCTCTCTCTCTCTCTCTCTCTCTCTCTCTCTCTCTCTCTCTTTCTCCTTTCTTTCCTCTGTGGTATAGGAGGTTAAACCCAGGACCTTTGCACTGAGGTATATCCCCAGTTGTTTTTTTTACTTTGAAACAGGGTTTCTCTAAGTCACTAAATTACGAGCAGGCTGAACTTGATTGAATTTGTGATCTTTTGCCTCGGACTCCCAGAGTACTGGGATTACAGGCATATACCACCATACCTGGATAAACTGTCTTATTTCCCTACCTCATTGTCAAATATATATTGAGAAAGGCATGTAAAGCAAAATGCATAGCTCAGTAAGTAGTCATAAACACCTTGAAATGACTAGTTTAAGAACTAGAATCTTGCTTGCGTGTTAGAAGTCAAGGTAGTGTGTTATCTCTTAAGCAGATACTCCCCAATATTCTCCCCCATTTATATGTGCAATGAAAGTGGAAGAACTGCAGATACAGCAATGTGGGTGAATCTCGCAGGTATCTTATTAATTGGAATAAACCAGCTCTTATTTCTGTTCTTTGTCACAAATCAATTATTCATGCATATGGTCCTAATCTATTCCATAGGTTCACTTGTCTACTTTGTGCCAATATCATATTTTAACTACCATCATTTTCTTGTCTTGATAGTCAATAGAAAAGCTCCTTTATTCTCATTTTTGAACTAGCTTTTTAAATTCCGCTAAAGAGCAGTTAAAAAATAAGCGTGAAAATCCTGAGATGAATTTCATTGGAAATACATTGACCTGTAGATCAATTTGGGGAGAATTGAATCTTTTTTTTTTTTTTATCAGTACCAGGGATCGAACTCACAACTGCCTGCTTGCAAGGCAGGCGCGTATACTGCTGAGTTAAATCCCCAGCCCTGAGAATTGAATCTTTACATTGTTGAATTTTTAAATCCATGAATATGCTATTATACTCACTTAGATAGGTTTTTTTTTTTAGTTGTACTCAATGATGTCTTATAGTTTTCTACTAGTATGCCAAAACATTGGTCCCTGTGAGTAAATCACAGTCTGGGCAAAGCCTGGGGTGGCCAGGTAGGTTGCTACAGGCTGAAAAAGATTCATCTGCTTACCTATTATCAGTTTTCTATGTGTGACATGGTGGGAAAAGGGCTGGGAGTAGTGGGAAGTCTTTTTAGCTTCTGCTTCTGACCAACTGCACAGATGCTACGATGTGAGCAGGCAAGAACACAACCCATAATGTTCCCAAACATTTCAAAGTCCTGAGTTGCCCATGGTGTACTTCTGGCCCATTTATTTTCAAAAGCCTGTTGGTACAATGTGTTCCCAGAAATCAGGAGGAGTTATTCTTTGCAAAAATGGTATTATTATGTACTGAGCATTTGCCAGATTTGGGCATGGTACAAAAGTCTTAAGTCTCTAAACCATCCTCTGAGTTTGTCAGTATGGTCTGTATTTACAGGTGAAAATCTGGATCTTTGAGAGGAAAAATAGCTACTAAGTGGTAGAACCATTTCTGCTTCTCAAACCCTTCCTCTATAAAGCCCATAGAAATACTGGGTAAGATAAATATTCTTTCAAATAAACAGCTGACCTTTGAAGGAAGGAAAAGGCATATTCAAGTTCTAGAAATGAAAAGGAAGATGACACCCAGTAATCAAGCAGAGTTTCTCCCACACAGGATCCCTTTGGGACAGGAGATGTGACGTGGGAACTTTGATCTAGCATGGGGCTGAAACCTTCTCCAATGTTCTCACAGCCAAAGGCTGGGCTAAAACTCTGTGCTATAGATGCATCCACTCACACTATTGAAATCTTACTATATGCTAGGCTTTTATTCTAGAGACTTAGGACACAGTGCAAAAATATAAATCCCTACCCTTGGGGAATCTGTATTCGGGTAGAGGAGAGGCATAAAATAAGAAATACAGTATGTAAGTATATATAGAGAGGGTATATTTATTGGAAAAACAGAACAGGAAACACTGTATCAGGGATATAACAAGGAAATGGCTCTCTTGGCCTAGACTCTGAGAAGGGAAAACAGAATGATCTCCTGTAATTTTTAGTCAACAATCTGCCTGGTGCTGTGGCTGTAGCTGACATTAATTATTTACACAATGCAGAAACAAGGCACTAATTAACAGAAATTGGTACAAGGTGCCTTTCCTCACCCTTCCAGGGTTATGGAGAGGAGCTGCCTGACAAAAGCAAAAGAAAATCCTCTATTCAGGGTGCCAAACATTTTAATGCATAGAGCGGACAGACAAGCTCACAATGAAAAAATGTGAATGCAGCTGTAGGGTTCGGTACACCTCATGTTTGATGTTAAAGCCCACACTTCTCCTATCTGCGTGCCCTCCAAGAAGCATGAGAACTTCTGCCACACACCCTCAAAGGGGAGTTGCTTACGTGCCCAGCGCAGTTAGGAGCACAGATTTTGGAGCTGGAAGGGACCCAAGTAAACCGCCCACTCCAGTCTCCCTACAATGTGGGCCGAGTTTTTCTGGAACACAACTCACAGATGTTATCAGCTTCTGTTTGAATATCTCTAGTGAAGGAGAGAAGGTTTCTTTTGTGGATGGCAGGAGACCCCATTGTAGAGGCCAAACAATGCCACTGAGGAGACAGGCAGGACGGAGCCTTGGGTTAGGTGATCTTGGACAGGGTAATTAACCAGAGAAATCTCAGCTCCTTTCTTATATATAAAATGGATATCAATCATCTTATATGGTCATGCAGAGAGCTAAACAGAATAATAAAAATCTTATCTGGCACATGAGATAATGTACTTTCCCTTCTCATGAAATTGTAAATCCATACAATCAATTAAATACTTTTTGCATTAATCAGATCAGGTATACCTCTAGAGATATGATTTTTTTTTTTTTTAGAGATACGATTTTTAAAAATCCAAGTCTTAGTGAGGTCAGGTCTCATCTCATTCAACATTCTACTGGGAAAGGGTCAAGTCATTTAAAAAACAGTGTTCCTTCTCAATTGTTAACCAGCACTGTCTGCATCTCTGGCCTCTCTGATTTCCTGTGCAAAGTCTACAGCTCTGTTCCATCTGTTTGTCAAGGAAGGGCGGGTCTGAGAAGCAACTTGACTGGGGGCTAAGTACAAGCTCCACTGTGAAGGCTGTATATTTTTTTAGAAGCTTCAAGTATAAATTTTGCTGATTTAGATTCCTTTCTTTAAAAATTAAGGCATTAAACTGGACACCTATAATCCCAGTCACTGTACTTGAGAGGCAGAGGCAGGATTGCAAGTTCTCGGCTAACCTGAGCAACTGAGTGAGACACTATCTCTAAATAAATAAGCTAGGCTTTGGGGCAGCTCAGTGGTATAGAACGCCTGGGTTTAATCTTAGTAACAACAACAAAAAAAGGGAAAAACAATTATTTACACACAATATATCTATTTTAGATATATAATGAATTTTCATAACTTAGACAGTTGTGTAGCCAACCCCATACTAAAGATACTGACTTTCCCATTTAAAAAAGTTTTCTCTTTAGGTATTGATTTTATTTATTAATTTTACAAATCACCTTCATCTGCAGAAAGAAATCTTGAAGTCCAACCTGCTCTACCAAGTGAGGGACACTTACTGAATCCTAAAGAGGTTTATGGGATACAGAAGCTTTTCATATTAGAACAGCTACTTTGCAGAGCAAACAGTCACCCGAAGGAAAATATAAGGGATATTTTGACTCAATATAAAAGAGAAATTTCTAAAAACAGCGTAACAATCACTATATACAGGTGATGAAGTTATTCAAAGAGTTAAAAATTAGGACTGGCATGTAGCTTAGTGGTAAAGAGTTTGACTGGTATGTTTGAAGCCCTCGGTTCAATCCCAAACACACACACACACACACACACACACACACACACACACACATACACACGAAAGGAATTAATCTACATCAAACACAGTGGAATGTCAGACTTGGAATTTGAATTAAAGTGTTTGGATAGTAAACCCAAATTTCCCCACCAACATTTGGGAGTTATGCAGGAGGTGAAGAGAGGCCAGGGCACAGCCTCAAGGCAGATAACCTTGTACAGTGTAAGGAAGTTGTTCTGATGTCAGTCAGCTTAAACCCCATGGACACTGGCTCAGGTCAGGCCCGCACTGGGGGCAAAGCCAAGGCACAGAAAAGTGGCTTCCCGCTTCATGGGTGGAGGAAGGGCGAGTCCACCATCCTGGCCTGAGGTTCTCCTTGCCTCACTGCCTGGAGCAATCTCTTGCCCCAATCTTCATGTGGGCTGTAGATCCAGGTGAGTGAGAAGTTGGTGCTGGAAGGGTCTGCATGGCTCATAGAGATCAGCTGCTTCTCCTGGCTGGTGAGGGACTGTACAGGTGCCCTGCTGGGCTACTGAGAGGCTCCAAACATTTCTCAGAAGGTGGAGAATAGAAACTACACACAGGTGGGGAAGAAAAAACAAAAGCAGCAAAGGAGAGCAAGTGGACAGAAGGGCATGTGGAAAACCAGAGCGTGGGCTTTGCTGCTGAGCAGGGAGGGTGCAAGTAAGGACTTCCAGGGCAACAGCATGCAGGCCAGAAGAACACAGAGGCTTGGTGCCCTGGATAGGTGCATTGTCCATCTTGCCCTCTGTGGAGAAGTGAGCTGTGAAGGCTTCTGCTCCCCAGGAAGGCCTGAGCATATAGGATGGATCTGTTGATGACCCTTGGCCCTGACCCACAGATGGGGAGGCTCCTAACAAGATGCTGGGTTGGTTGAGTGTGACCAAATCATCTGCCTGAGGGAGCAAACAAGGTAGAGGCACCTCCTCCTCACCCGTCCATTCCCTCCTCTGCCCTCCCCTACTCATTGTCTGGGAACTACAGACAAGAAACCAGACAGAACAGCCTGGAATTATCAGGCAGGTGGGCTGGAGAGCTGGGGCTGCTGAAGGTTTTTTCTGATTTTCCAGTTTAGGGCCCACCCAGCTGGCTGGAAGTAGGACAGAGGTCAGCTGAACTCAGACCACACATCCCTGTTAAACACATCAGCTTTTAAATCAATCTTTGATCAAAGTCCAGTGAGTTCCAAGAGTAGAGCTCCCAGCAGACAGTATTCCTGTGACAGAACAGCTCTTCTTCTTACAGGTGCAGGTAAGAACTGGCTTCTGTCCCCTGACTGAGGGTACCGGGCTGCCTGGGCCTGAACTAACTACTTTCTTTCCCTTCTCTGAGCAAGTAGCTGTGCCAAAGGCACCAGCTGGGCCCTTCGGTGGTGGCTGGGGTAGGGAGGGCTGGCTTGCCATGTACCGACACTTTGTGTTGGAGAGGATTTTCGGCACTGCTTCACAAAAGGATTGGAAAACTGATCTCAGAGAAAGGTTCCCAGGGTTGGATGTGAAGCCCACGGAGGGAAACAACAGATTTCACAGGCCCCGGGAACGTTCTCTGGTGACTTCCTACTGTGCAGGAGCTTTGGGTATTGGAGGAGACCTTCTCTAGCTCTTCATCCAACAACTGTGCCATTTGGTAATGAAACCAAGCATCTCCCCTCTATCATATAGCACTAAGAAGTGAGGAAACACCAATGGATTTCTAGGCTGGCTGAATTTTAAAATGTAGCTCTACCTTTTGAAGTTTCTAAATCCTGGGTGGTGTGTCAATCTGAAAATGCTTGTTACTTTGAAATTCTTCCAGTTGATTCAGATGTGCTGGCAGGTTTGGGAACCCTTAGTAACTGATTTTCTAGGCAAACAAGTCGAGACTTAAGAATGACATTTACCTAAGGGCTCCCAGGCTGTGAAGACTCCTGGCCTGGTTGGCTCCAGCTACTGAAGAGGAACTGCTCTTCGTTTTCCAAAATCCCTCCAGTATGGCACTGAGTCGCTCAATCCTGTATCCAGAAGTCACAGGGCCCAGACTGCCTCAGGTCATGATGGTCCAGCCACAGGGACTCGCATATTTTTTCCTACACAAAGAACTCAGGGACATTGTGGGTTATAGCTAAGTAAATTATTTTTATCTTTTTTTATGTTCTCTGCACCATAAAATAGGAAGTTGTTAATGTCTGATGTTCATAGACACTGGTTAGACAACTTCTTTTCAAGTTTTTTTTTTTTTTGTCTTTTTCTTTTTTATCAGTACTGGGGATCAAACTCACAACTGCCTGCTTGCAAGGCAGGCGCTTATGCCGCTGAGCTAAATCCCCAGCTCTGGCAACTTCTTTTCATCTAGGAAAAGAACACAGTAGTTCTGGAATACAAATAACCATTTTTTAAAAAGAGAATATTGAAACAGATTTTCAAAACAGGTTAGTAGGACACTTACAATAATTAATACATTGCATATTGTTGTCTTCAGGGTTTTCATTCAGTTGCTTGTAACAGGCCATTAGGTAAATTGCTTAGCCAACTAGAGCCTCAGTTTTGTCATCTGTCAGACAAAAGGCTATAGTCTTCCCCCTGCATTCTGAAAATAAGATAAATGTATATGAAAGGATTGAAAGCATGAATGTAAAATGCTTCCATTTCAACTGCAATTAGTTGAAGATCTTGTCCCAATCTTTTATCCCACTGACCTCTGTTTGTTCCTGTCCAACTAAAAGTTGAGCCTAGATGATCGTTAATGTCCTTTTCAACTTACCAAGGATAAGATCTGGTCTGCCTCCTTAGGTATGACTTCAGATGTCCCTTCCCTAGGAAAGGCTTTCACCTCACCACAATCTCTGTCATTTTAACATTGGAAAACATCTTGTCTGTCGTCTTTGAAAGATGTCAGACTTTTAATCTTGTTTTTTTTTTTTTTTTTGGAGATAGGGTCTTGCGATGTAGTTTAGGTTGGCCTCGAACATACTATGTAGCTCAGGCTTGACTAAAATGTATTGTGATCCTCCTGCCTCAGCCTCCCGAGTGCTGGTATTACAGGTGTGTGCCATTATGTCCAGTTCTGACAGATGTTAAACTTTTAAGGTATCCAAGATTTTAGTCTTTGTGTTACCCATTGTATTGCCAGCCAGCTCTTAGAGCAGTGCCAGAATCTTAGACATCTGGATAAATGGAACTTAGTGTGGTAGGGAAGGAGGTAGAAAGCTAGAAACCGGTTGTTTTGACAAACTGCTCCTTAGAAAAGCTTGAAGAACGCGAGCTTTTTTATTTCTCTTTGGGCATTTGGAGTCCAGAGTCTGCTCCTGTGGACATGCTTTGGTTATAACTTGGTTAAATAATTCTTGATTTGTGGCATGGAAATTTGATGTGGGTAGCAAGATGGAGCTAGACATGTTTTCCTCAAGATTTTAGCAACTCCTTCCCTTGGTCCCTTACTAGGGGCTGACCAGATTTTCTTAATCTCTGCCTTGTGGGTATCATAAGTAAGTAGTTAAGAGCTTAACATTGGAATTGGAGACTTACATTCCCAATGAAACTGTATGTCCTAAGTTTTTATTTATTAGTTAAATAAGCATAAGAGAATCTAACTTTTATTGTTCTTAAGGTTAAATGGGAAAATTTACACAATGCCTTTTATATCTGAAGTGCTCCTACTATGATCTTTGGATTCTTTGTGATATGCATGGCCTCAGGGAATGAAGATGGTCTGGTAGTGGCCAGGACTTTGATAATAGGAAAGATGGCCTCTTGAATCCTGATGGAAACTATGATAATCTACTTTTGGTTCAAAATAGCCAACAGGTTGTGAGGCTTCAAACTTTGTTAGAAAAACAGATACTCATAGTCACGCAACTCAGTGGAACCATGGAAACACAAAGCTAAATAACCCAGAAAAGCTCATGAGTTTTCCACCAATTGTACTGAGTACATTCTTGGTGTGTGAGAATCAGAAGGGGGCTATCGTGCCTACACTTGAGGTCAAGGATTTTTTTTTTCTGTATAGTGCTGGCGGTCAAACTTGGGGCCTTTTGCAAGCCAGGCAAGCACTGTACTATTGAGCTCCATCCCCAAAGGAACCAGCTTGATGGGAACACATGACAAACATTGAAGCTCCATTGTAATCTGTAGGACTAGGTGCAAAGTGCTTCAGAGTCTAACCCAATCTACTTCTTTTTTCAACATATACATGAGCTCTGGTCTTTCTCAACCATTCACCACTCTGTGAAGATATTTTGTGATGTTCCTTCTCCCTGCTTCTTCCTTTTCCCCGTCTAACTTTCTTTCTTGGTGTGTGAGAATCAGAAGGGGGCTATCATGCCTACACTTAAGGTCAAGGATTCTTTCCCCCATAACATGTTCCCATAAAACATAGTTATCCTTCATTGCTAGGAGATAGGGTTGATGGTGGAAGGGACCCAGACATAGCCAAGTTTGAACCAAATAACCATGTGAAACCAACCTAATTTTCAAATCCTTCTTTTCCTTGTAAGATGACCCATTAGGTTTAACTTAGGACTCTTAAACAGTAAGAGGGCTGGTTTCTAGAGTCTAATGAGAGCTCAGTAGATGTGTGTAAGCACTGGAAAACATTTAAAACATTCCCAAATCCATGCTGTTGTTCATTCTACACCATCTGTAACCCTTCTGATTGGACTCTGAGATCTCTGAAGGCACAACAGTGTGAAACCTGGGTTGAGCTGATACCCTACTGTCGACGCTAATTGTACTTACTGGCTGTAGAAATGATACTTACAATTCAAAAGATGGAGTTCTATTTTCATACTGTGGTAGTCAGCAAAAGATTTGTATAAATCTAAGTTTGTATAAATCTAAATTCAAGACCTTGAAAATAGGTCTTGAATTCATTCACACATTGAAGATGCCATATGCAGTAAGAAGTGTTGGGAAGGTATTCCAGGCAGAATGTACAGCTTGAGAAAAGGGGAGGTGGGGCATAGGAGATCAGATTCAGCCAGTTTGGTGCTTCACCACCAGCAGAGGAGCAGAGAAGCTAGGTTAAGGTGAGCTGCAATGCCTGAGCAAGGAGTCTGGTCTGTTTTGTTTCTTGGATCATATTTTAGAGAGACATGGTGGGAAGTTTGTCTTTAGACAGCAACTGGGAGATGTTGGAAGCTGAAAGGCTCTTGCAGTAGGCTAGACATAAAAAAGTAAGAGGATAGAAATTCAAGTGAAGCAGGATGCTGATCTGGAGAAAGGTCATGTGCCTGGGATGGCTTGGCTGTGTTAGGAACGGGTTCAGCAGCACAAGGGTATCCTCCCTCCATGGGTGCCTCTGTTTCCATGAAACACTGATCCAGCTCTCTCCAACCTCAACAGCTCCTAGACAAGCAATGAAAGCATGAGAAGCCTTGAACTCCAGACCAGAGTCTTGCCTTACAGGACAAAATGTGGTTTATGGTGGCTGGGGTAGGAGGGGCACTTGGTACTAAGAGGCCAAATGAACTTTGAGACAAACATTCTATTCTTTATCATAAAAGAGAAATAAAAATTACTCACTGACCCTATGATCACAGAAGTGATTTTTTTTTCCCCTGAGCCAGGGTCTCACTATGTAGTTGAGGTTTGCCTGCCTTAGCCTCTTGAGTGCTGGAATTGCAGATATGTGCCACCATATCTGGATAATTCTTTCTTTTGGTAATTGAGGATTGAACTCACAATCCTGCCCTTGCTGGGCAGGCACTGTAGCGCTGAGCTATATCCCCAGCTATTAGATAATAATGAAATGCATTTGCTGATTTCTCATATTTGAAATCTAGCCCTGATTAAAACAAACAGGAACTGTTACAATGGGGAGTTACAGATAGCTAATGTGTATTTTGGTATAATTATTTCAACACATGGTATACTTCAGTATTAGAATTTCTACAGGTGTTGCTTATAAAAAAGTGTTGGCTTTAAACATACCATCTGCATCAGAATTATAGGATTTGCTCTTGGAAAATATTTTTGAAGAAGGATGAAATCCAATCACCTTTAGGTCTTTCTTGCTCGGGTTATTAGTCGTGGATGTAACATTCAGTCTCCACCCTCTGAATTCTAATGGAAGTCGAGTGACTTCCTTCTCATTGCACAGAAGCATGCAAATGCTGCAGGAACAGTTCTCTGCAAAATGCACTCTGTAAATACAACCTGTAAAATCCCTGGGAATGTTGCTTTCTACTTGCTGAAGTTCCAAGTGTTTTTAGCCCAACATGAAGCTCAGTGGAAAGTGGAGGTCTAGTTGAATGTTACCAGACAGACCCTGCTCTC